ACATCTTATTTTTCTACATAATTTCCTCCCTTATTGATGCATTTTTCCATCGGATTCGGAGTTTTTTTTAATTCCCTTATCAATGCAGCTGGTCGTGTCAGTAGCCAACTGTCCACGAACGTTTCCATATGTTCGTCGTCGTCGTCAAAGTGGTGACCCCTCAGGTCTTCTTTGAGTGGCCCACACATGTGATAGTTACATGGCGACAAGTCGGGACGGTAAGGCGGGTGTTCAAGTGGTTCCTAATAAATTTCGCGTAATTTTTCTTGGGCCAACGCAACTGTGTGTGGTTGAGCGTTGTCGTGGAGCAGAATGGCACTTCACCGATAGGCCAGTTTCACTTATTTAAGCAGTTGGCAGTAGTAAGCAACATTAACTGTTCGGTGATCGTGAAGAAAATCAACTAGCAGTACACCTCTGGAATCCAAAAATTCCGCTACAAGAACTTTTCCTGCAAAAAGACTGGTCTTGGCTTTTCGCAGTGCTGCCTCTCCAGGCTTTCGCCACTGCACGGAATGCTTTTACCAGTCATATACTTGTGTCCTTGAAACTGTCTCATCGCTGAACTGTGCTGTTAATCGACACAAAACTTCGAAAGGTTTTACGCCCACCCGCGGTAGATATTTTATGATAATGCGTTGTGCAACATACGTGTGCATCTCTTGCTCAGACCTGATGCTACTGACAGCTCATCTACTTCTACCCAACATACTCCTATATCAAGACGTCACCCATTCACCTACGGCGCGTTAAACAGAAAAGTCTGGATCATATTTGATTCACCCTCTTACATTCGCGAGATCTAGAAATGATCAAAAGCCGTATGTCAGGTGGCGAAATGATGCCAACATCGAGCTGTTAGAACCAAACTTAAGGTGCAACGAATAATTCCAGATAGATTCAACGACAACGTGCTAGTTAACTGGATAACCGGATATTGAGAATAGTAGTTAAATTACCTTTGAGCCAGCGGAAGACGTTTTTCAGTTATGAGTATTTTTTCACTAAATCTAAAAGGAATCATGAAGACAGTATACCTATACGTTTTTGTATGAATCTGAATATTGGACTCATCATCCAGTATCAGAAAAGAAACAGGTAAGTACTTCTTCGAATAATGAAAGAGAACGAACTCATGTTGATCGTTGAAGAAAGGAAAACGATCGGATAGGAACAAAACAGAATTTCTGGATAAGGGATTAAAGAGGATGGATTGGCTGCACCTCAATAGAAATATCTAGGGAAATGATATCGACTTCGATGGTCAACCTCCGATGGGAGATGGTGAGCTGGGAAGGTTCTGTGAGAAAGTAGTGTTATTTTCTTCGCATGCAAAGGTCTTAAGCAAAAACATAATGCTCATGATACTGCGGTCAAGCTTATCTATTACCTTCAATTTCTCATTCACCTAAAAGTTATCTGGAGTACTGATCCCGGCTGCAAAGACAACTTCGACGCCAATGGCGAGAGGTAATCCGGCCTGGCACAAAGGAAATTGCTTGTGTAAACAATTACCGTAATATGATTAATTGTCTTTTAAAATAACAGAAAAGGAGTCTAATGAAAATCCATGACGAAGGATCGTTTTCATGCATGAACGTTCACTTTGACTCCATAAAAGCCATGAGTTTTGTCTATAACGAAAGATCTAAAATCATCCCGACAGATGAAAGAAAACTTTAACCGCTGGTATTTGAACCCACAATTATTGTATATGCTATTATGCATTTTGGAAGGACATAGAAAAATTAAATTTTTCAATTTGCATTTTCACCTAAACTCTTTTTTACCTAGCTGAGTAGTCTACAGTAAAAACAACTTGATTAATATCCATTATCAATAAACGTTTATCGTCAAATTTAAACATTTCGATCTTTCCGTTGTATTACACATTCATCTGTTACATTATTCAGCTCATCAAATGTTTGCAAAATGTAGCTCATTAGTTCTACAGCAACTGCAAGTTTGCACATCAGCCTAAAGTTTTAACATGCAGACCAAGCAAACGCAGAAACACTGAAGCGCGCAACACTCACTTGTCTTTCAGATTATGCACCAATTAACAACGTAGGTAGACCGCCATGTTTGAGTCAAACCTGTCTAATTAGCCAGAAGGTGGTTCCCGAACGAGTTATGCGTCCCAAATACAGATTTAAATCAAAGGGTTCCCCACAATAATTAGGCATTATAGTTGCGTATGTGCGGCAGCATCCTGATATTCTGTTTTGATGACGCTATTCATTACTTTTAAGAGGATTCCGCCAGGTGAATTTACCCGACTTTGTTCGTGTTTTGATGAAGGCTATGGACTGAATATCATTTACGAGTTTGCAACAAACGGCTGCGCTATGTGGGAGGTAAGCAGATTCCACTATTTATGGGCTGCTGTTAGTTCTATTCGAGATGCTTCCATATCTGTATTAAGAAAAGTTTTTCCTTGAGAAAGAGGGAAATGCCTCATCCATGGATAGGAGCCGCCGACATAATATTGAGTAGTCATAATTACTTTTGTATATTTGGCATTGTACCTGGCTGAATTGCTTGCTAGGGCACTGTCAGGGAAGTATTGAAATCGCGAGAAATGTTTAGTCTGCCTTTACTTCATGGGTCACTGGGCGAGAAAGTATTGTAGTCACGTAAAGTTTCGAAAATGAGATATTTTGTTTTTTGGATGTTCGATGACATATACTCGTACATCACGAAAAACGACGTCACCAGGCAACAGCGGTGGCCGCAGTAGTAGACTTTTCGGTCTTCTGATCAGTCGCAGTGCGCTGTGCGGGTTTGAATCCCGTCCCAAGAGAAATGTTTCTCTTGGCTATGGACGTTGTGATTGTCCCTAGGTGGCAGACGGTCTCTGACTGTCGAATGCTGAGGTACCACCCGGCGGATCTCGTAGGCGGGGCCAGAATGTGTGCATGTTGCATGTACTGGGCAGGGACAACGTTGCCACATGGATGGTAACTATCAGTAGGGAAAGAATGTCTATCAACTAATTATATGAGCCTGTTTGACTGAATACGTTTAACTTCTCTGTTGTACGTTCCCGTGCCTGACTATTTTCTCACAGGATTAAATTGCACTACACTTAGTCGTTTATAAACTGATGAATTCGTTGCGTAGGAAGTACGGGGTTAACCCACTTGACGCCAGTTTTTGAATTTATATGACTAAGTAAAAGGAAGGAAAAAACTAGCTGATGGAACTAGGAGGTTGAATCAATCCAACATAAAGATGCAACACACAGTTCATATGCTGAAAAAAATTAGTCCCATGAAAGAAGTGATATGAAGGGAAGGGAAGGATAAAAGTAAGTAGCCAAAATTAGTAATTTGTTCATTCTTATTCATTAGCAATTTGGCATCAAGACGATCAAAAGCAGCTCATCGCCCTAATGTCCCTCCGACAATGTCGGCCAATAAGACTGGCCCTTTCCCGTATAAAGGAAATTAACCCTGTCGTATTCCCTGCAGTAACCCCTTTATGCCGGAGCAGGAAGAGCTGTCGAAGAAAAATAAAGGAGAGCGAGCGTTACTGGGGAAACTTTGCTGCGAATCAAAGATAAACCATTTTATTCCAAAGTTCGGCAAAGGCTATCATTTTGTTTCGGCGCCGACAAAAGCCAGCCAGCTACAATGAAGGTAATGAAAGCCCGGGGAAATCACCCCATATTGTCGGAAAATAATCGTGTAATTGCTAGGGCTGGCGCTGAAATTCTGTCATACTACATGGTAGAGAGCATTCGACTTTTGTATGAGAAGTTTGTAAAAGTTATCTCATTGAACAAAGAGCAGAAGGAAAACTAGGACCGTCAGACTTTATAGGTTACGAGTATGGTTTGGATTTGCCGTACTAGGTTACTCTATGGTAAGAATGTAGCACATATACTCCTGATAAGAGACTATGCTCTCTTTATTAATTAACGTTCTTATGTCATGTACAAAAATGATGCTCTGAATTGCTTAGATTGTTCAGTGCTTGGAATCTAGTTTGCCACCTATCTATTTTGTTGCAGCTGAGATACTGCATGCGGCTATGAATGCATCACCCTTAAGCTAGCTTTAGACGGTGCCTTTTTCCGTGCAACTTGATGCATGCGTCGTAGCGCAACTATGACGCATGCGTAACTGCTTGCACTCTTTGAAGCGCACCAATCGTTTGCGTCAAAAGGAAAAGAGACGCAGTGTTTCCCGCGACTTTTGGGAATTTGTTTGCGTTGCCTTTTGCCTCGCATTTTTACGTCAAAATGGAATGGAACAATGAGAAAACTATCTATCTAATTTATCGACTCCTATACAAATTTCACTTGTTTGTGTGATGTGAGGCCCCAATTACAAAAACAGGATTATACGAAATGATGCTGTTCAGGAATTGTGTACAAAATACAGTATAACACCAAAGCAAGTCTTGAACAAAATTAAGAGCTTGAGGTCATACTTCCATAAGGAACACACAAAAGTTTCTAAGAAAAAAAGTGGAAATGCATTAACCTAAGTATTTATTTATTGTTTTTAATATGTCATTCTGAAATACAATCAACTGTATACTACATAGTTGGTTTTTCTATCAAATAATAAGAATATTTTAGAACAGAGTGAACATTTTATTACGGTACTATAATTCTGTATTTACTATTGCTGGTTTACAAATGTAAACTACTTGTTGGCAAATGTTTCTTGCCATGAAACACTGCCTTCTTTTGATACAAAGTAGTTCATAAATTCTTCTCTGATTACCTTCGCATCATTTCCGGCTTCACGTGGAATTTTCCTAAAACTGATTATGCCTGTATCACCAACGGTATCTCTTCTCCAAATAACTGGTGTTATTTCTCCTGTACCCACATTTTCGATATCGAATGTTCCTAGTGAGGAATATTTCTTTTTGGCAACAGCATTTCTTCTTAAAAAGTTATGTATGTAAGTGCAAGTTAAAACTAGTGACTCTGTAGTATCTGGCTTCACTGCTATCGGTTTTCTAAAAATTCGAAAAACTGCTGATTAAAGTCCGAAAGCATTTTCCACAATGCGCCGGGCTCTAGATAGCCTATAATTGTATATTCTCCTTGGAGATCCTGCTGGTATATTAACCGGAAATGGTTTCATAATATTGGTTGTCAAAGGAAAGGCGTCATCTGCTATGATCACATAAGATACTTCTAAGTGCGTGCTCTTAGAAAGAGGTGTTGGTTTTGGTATATTCAATGCGTTATTAACCAAGCCTCTACAGAAAGACGTAGTGTGGAAAACGCCTCCGTCTGACATTCGGCCCTGGGATCCTACATGTGCATATATGAATTTATAGTTTGCATCAACGATCGCCATTAAGACGATACTAAACGTTCGTTTGTAATTATAGAAGGAACTACCACTATTCGCTGGACACTGAATTTGCACCTGCTTCCCGTCAAGAGCCCCTATGCAATGTGGAAAATTCCACTCGTTTTCAAAATCTTTAGCTATTTCAAGCCATTCATCTTCAGTTGAAGGAACCTAAAAAAATGTGTTTTGTTATTATAATATTTAATTTAAAAACTTAATTTTTATAACTAGAAAACATTTTCAGGTACTTGAACACGAAACTACTTCATCAAGTACAATTCAACAGAGTTTGGATTTTGCAACACCTTCATCAGAAACTAAACGCCAAAAAAAAATCGGCGCAGGTAGAAGAAGCCTACCATTTTTTGACAGAGGCAAAGGAAGAATTGACCAAACAAGATCGATTTTCATATTTTGGAGAAGTAATAATTGCTTGCAAATTAAGAAGCTTAAATGACCCACGGTTACAAGCTGAAACCGAGTTTAAAATTAAAAAACATTTATTTGAAGCGGAAATGCAAAGTTTAAATAAGCAGTTAAGCTATCCCACTATAGTACGTTCAACCAGATAATAGCCGCCGCGGATCTTCCACTGCAAATTATAGTTATGAATTCTCAAACTCAACTACACCAGAAATGCTCAGCCCAAACTCAGAAACACTAAATAAGTGGCCAAGCTGTCCTACTATGATTCGTTCAAGTGTCACTCAGCTCGGTAATAGCTGCACTGGATCTTCAACTACTAATTCCAGGCAAGAATTGTCAAACATATTGAGTCCAAAACTACAAGTTATTCAACAACTGAATCGTGATATGGCAGAATTTTTGAATTTTCATAAATAATACTTTTTAAGTAAAGTTTGTTATCTTGCTTAAAAAAGACTATTTAGATGTTAAAGTAGTTTGTATATTGGGTTTCTCGTATAAAGTTATTTTTTCTACTTTGGAAGTACATTAATCTTCTTACCTTAACATATCCTTTCAAAACTTGATCCAGGGTATTACACACTGCAGATATAATTAGTGAAATAGTTGAGTCAGAAATTTTAAATGTATACATTAAACTCCTGTATGAATCTCCGGATGCTAAATATCTCAGACAAACTGCCAGTCTTACTTTTTCGGGAGTAGCTTCTCTCATATTTGTATTTGTTTTTCTAATAATTGGCCCAACCATTGACAAAAGTTCTTCAAAATCAGTTGAAGACATCCTAGTAAAGTTTTGAAAGAACCAACCGCCATCTAACAGCATTTTTTTCTATAAAGGAATAGCTATGCTTTTTTTCAGCAATTCCCGTATCCAATACTTGCGTTTATTACGTTGTTTATTCCTCACTATTATGATAAACGCAGCACGCAAACCTCCAAACTTCAAAACATCCATGTTAAATTATTCAACATGCACCGATACAAATTTAGGTGTAAATGATATGTTGCACGATATAAAAAGGCAACGGTTTTGTGCGCTATATTGCATACGCTGTTGCATGAAATGCCGCATGCGCTAACGCACAAAAAGAAGCACCGTCTAAAGCTAGCTTTATGTCAACTTTTATGCATGAACAGAGTAATGAGAACAGCAGATGCCCTGGTAGCAGTCTTCCTGGATCTCCATTTATCGCAAAAGTTTCAGAGGAGGTAGGTGCTCTTCCAGGAGCAAAACGTGCTTAATCCACAACTCCATTAGTTGGTACTCGGGGGTGCTAAGGGTCGCTAAACTCAATGCCTTCGTCAAATTTTGAGATAATACTAAAAAAAATTGTATTACTCAGTAACTCACTTTGACCCTGAAATAACCTTAATTTGATGTTGACGTATCCTGTGGATGACCTTGTATGTTGAAACAAACGGTAGATCTGGATTCGACTACCCCTGAAACTGGAAATAACCTCTATTGATCACCTCGCCGGATAAAGTAGTAGTCAGATGTCCACTCAATGACCAAAAAACATGTAGGTGGCGGTCTTTGGTTGGATTGAAATACTTTTACAAACTTTGGCCTCGAAATAACTCTGATTTGTCCTTGGATGACTTCGCCAGGTGGAACAAACGGTTCCAGATTTTGATACGATGGCGCCAAAACTAAAGTATAATTTTTACATTACTTAAACAAGATTTCTGAATTTGACTTTGAAATGGCCTCAAACTTAGCGTGATAAAGGTCAGTTAGCCTCGCCGTTGAGATCAACGGGCCAAAGAGCTCCAAGATATTTATTCCTAAGGGGTCGAGTGATAACTTTATTTACATGTTTGTACATCTGTTGACGGTAAACACGTAGATAATCACTTTCTCAATTCAACCGCAGAGTTTGATCCGCCCTTCTGGAGTTTTGCATGCATAGACCTCCACTTTATCTACTCTTCTGTATTTTGTAGAGGAGGAAGGGTATTCAGTCCAGATTACAGAACTTCGTTCGCATATCGTGAAGTGTTTCTCGGGACTAGATCAACCGTAGCCACAAAGTATTAAAAAAAAGTAGTAGTACGACTCAGCTGAGTTTTCTATCCATTATCCAGCCAGAATGGATGCACTGATAGAACAGCATTAGGAAAGCGAATGCCTAAGTGTCTCATATTTTCTTCATGCCGTCAGTACAAGGTTCTTTCATGTTATAGAAATGCTTACTTAACCCGGCATCCGACAGGTGAAATTTTATTACAAGTTACGACAGGTGGGGTGTGACAAACCCCAAATATAGACAGGCTTTTTATTTACTAGTTTTGTTTGTTTTATTACTTTCATGATTCAAATATCATTTAACATTGTATATATTAATACTACTCGTATAACAACAAAAAAAATCAATCTGAATATACACATAACGAGTTTATTTGAAATTACATTTTTTTTTCTGCCGGATTGGTTTCTCCATAATGGGGAGATTCCTTCCATTTCTCAGATCTTTCTATTATTCTTAGATTCGTATTTTTAACTATATCTACGATCATTACCTCATCAATAAAGAGGAAAAAGCGTTCAAGTGGAGTTTAAGCCATTTTTGCATGGTTTTTAACTCCTGGAAGATGGGTTATTATGTTTTCAGATCTAGTTCGAACATTCCTACTAGGGCACTCTTTGAACCATTTCATCCCGTTTTTTCCAAGAAAGAAACTACGTGTGTCCAAGACCTCGGCTTGTGTTTCATCGCCTTGATCTTCTACAACTTCAGGATTTTGCTCCAAATCGGGATAGTCGCTGCAAACACTTACATTATCTATTTCATCTTCTTCTTCTGAATCGTCTCGATCGATCGCTTCATCTTCATTCTGTACTTCCTCCCAAAGTGCCCAAAGCCTACGTTGCTCCTTCTCGTAATCGCCCATATTTTTTTATAGTTCTGAAATACTGTTTAAAAATGTAAAGTTTTAATTAAAGAGTTATATAAAATACGACTTACCTTTATAATCACGACAAAATGTGAAATAAAACAACTGCAAAAAACTTCCGAGTTCCGACACGTGGGGTATGACAAACCCCAAACAATCCTATGACGATACTACTCACTAGGCGTCAGCAGACCAACTGCCGCATGTGGCTCGTATTACTTATTGGAGTGTCCTTGAAAGCTACTGAGGCGCTGCCAGCAGTCGGCGTGAAATTTTAATAGATAACTTGTAAAATCCGATCGTTGGGGTTTGTCACACCCCACGTGTCGGATGCCGGGTTAACTAACGGATAAGTCGTAACACTGAAGAAAACCTAAGACGTACGGGGTAATTTTGGTACTTTACTATTATTGTTGACGTCCGAACGTCTGAGCCTCCCTTGCAAAAATTTTGTAATGTTGAGTTTGTATAGTGGATCTACTAAACGTGAGTAGTGGTTCAGATCTATTTTCGCCGAAATGTACTTGTATTGAAGCTGGTTTAGCTTTTAGCGAGTTAAAACGCAGTCGTAGCCATTGGAGCTATGTGGATTGATTGCTTCTGAGTACCAAGACATTGGTGACTCGGAGTCGGTGAGAAGCATAGAATATCCGCCTTCAGAACAAAAGACCAGCGTAAAAAATGACCTGTGTTAGTGGCGCTATCTCTTGTGACATACGGTATATAGGGCAAGAGCGTTGGATATATGAGATCTAATGATTTTCAAAAGAACTCAACAAGCAAATACCGTATTTAGTTGCTTATCAAAAGTGTATTGTCAGGTTATAAGTGAAATATAAATAAATACAAGGTTTAGTAGTAGGACAAAGGGATGCGTGGCTTCACTTTTCAATAACTCTCTACCCGATCTGCAGAAAAATTCTTTCATAAGCAAAATCTTAGATTCAATTGCCAACTGTCAAGTTTCTGATTGCCTCTGTGGTTCCTACCCATTTTTGAATTATATCGAATGATGGTATTTGGTATTGCAAAATAGCGATGAGTTCATCCTTTGACGGAGTGGCTTACATAAGAGAGTAGATTAGCATCCTAAACAAAGCATTTACTTGTATAGCGTAGTCGAAGAGGTCGAGGTTTGAAACACCTTTGAAGCGTTGAACTGTCAACTTGTCAAGCACGTTTGACACGGGACAACAAAACATACACAACACATGAAATTATAAATATATCCAGATGCTAATACCGCCGTATAGCGATATGTGTATGGTACTTTTATCTATGTCCATCTTACCTTTTCACCCTTGGCTAAGAGGCACCGAGGTACACCTCTATAACTTCACGATCTATGTTATTTTGAATGGCACTAATTGACCCGTTATTAGTTATCTCGCTTTGACCTGTTGAAATGTTATGTATCAATTTATACATCAGAAAGGTTTTAGCTCTCATATTTTTTCCGGAGTATCAAGTCACTATCATCGTCGCGTTTAGTATAAAGTCAGAGAGTTAAAATTAAAACCGGAAAAATCACCCAAGCACCATCGCCTAATTACACAACGTGACACTCATCCCACCTCCCGTTGGGAACCCGAGGAACGAGCATTATTTTTTGATTGATGCCCTCGTGACCACAAATGTTGCCAAAGCTTGATTGCAGGCCAATTTGTTTTTCTCTCGACGTACGTATTTAATCCTTTAATTGTGCTTCGGTGATGCGCGACATATGTGTTGTCGACTAATGTCATCACAGTGAAGGGCTTCCCGTCAGGATAATTTGCATAAAAAAGTCCGACGGGCCACTAAAAAAGTAAGCCATATAATATGTGGGTAATCGATCAGATTCGAAGATTACATAACGTACAAGAGCAAATCCATGCGTCACGGTCTGACAATCACATGGGATTTTCTGAAACTTTCTACCATGCCGGTTAAAAATACACGATATACAACAATGACTTCATCTGCGATAAATATAGCACCATCCTTTTTGTCTATTTTTGAGAAACCATGAATTAGTTCAAGTCGATTTCTCAGTGTGGAAATTTTTGAAAGTAAATGTCACGGAGAGACAAAAATGGAAACTCGAAAATCTGACTGTTGTGATTATTCACATAATTCTCTGAAGAGAAGAGAAAAACTAAAGTTCGGTCTAAATGAGTGTTTATCATTCAACGTGATACAAACCTTCTACATTCAAGTAAAAACTAGTTATCGGCAAAAAACCTGTATGTAACGGGCTGACCTAATAGTCGTCTAATCATATTAGAGGAATATACTCCTGGTTTGCGAAATAATTGTAAAGTCTGGTTTGATTGTTTGCAAGTTGTTCAAGGGGGTATTCAAAACTTGGACGCACAAAATGGGCACTCCAATTTGGGAAAACTTTTTATTCGACAACAAAGAATGAGAACACGTGTTTTTTGGGATTCAATCGAAACTGTTGGCAGGAACGAAAAAACTCTTCATGTAAGATTTTCAGGTATTTATGAGACCTACAGCATGAGACCACACGTAAAGAGATCCCGCTAGTAGCAAAAAAGTTATGGCCGAAAACTGAGGGAAACTGCAGGTTTTGGCACTTGTTGGTAACGCGACGATGGTTTCTCGCAGATATTTGAAATTCTTCGAATTCGTAGGACATACACTTCTAAATAATCACAACAAAATTGCAGTAGATTGCTTAATTAGTTTTTGAGAATTTCTAATCTACCAACACACCTGTTTTCCGGTCATCACTACGAGTTTATTGAGCAATATACAGGGTTAGTTCAAAGGGCATTATAAAGCAGAATACACTAGTTTACATGGCCGATATGAATCGCAAACCCATCCGGAAGATAAATGTTATTTTTATGCAAAAACGGATGGGTTACGTTTCTAAACAAATTCAAACATTTCGTATTTGTGAGAATGCTGATAGATGATAGACACAACCGCTTTGTTTTAAAATTACGTGCGTTTTTAGAATATCGTAGCAGAAAAAAACGTAACCTCTGTTTTTCGCATAAAAGTAACATTTATCTTTCAGACTGTTTGGTGTTTTATATCGTACGGTAAACACGTGTATTTTACTATTAAATGCTCTTTGAACGAACCGTGTATATTGCTCAGTATACTATTAGCGATGGCCGAAAAACAGGTGTTTTGTGATAAACAATTAGAAATTCTCAAAAAACTACCTGACCGATATAATCCAATTTTGCTGTTATTATTTAGAAATATGAATCCTACGGATCTGAGGAATTTCAAGTAGTTGCGCGAAATTATCGTCGCATTAGCAACAAGTGCCAAAACCTGCATTTTGCCTCGTTTTTCAGCCATAACATTTTTGAACATTATATGAAAAGTTTTTTCGATTGAATCCCAAAAAACACGTTTTTTCATTCTTTGTTGTCAAACAAAAAGTTTTCCCACAAAAATTTGTTGTACCCATTTTATGCGTCCATGTTTTAAATACCACCTTGAACAACTTGCACAAATAAAACCAGACCTTACAATTATTTCGGGAAAATTTGCTAATATGATTAGACTATAAAATGTCTCTTATGCAAGAACTGACACCTGTGATGGTAGTTTCTTATCTCAATTGTAATTATATCATTCGAAGACAATAGAAACACAAGCATGATATAGACATTTTAAGTATTTTGGGAGGTGGTACTACTTAATACAACACGAAGCATGAAATCGACATCTGTGTGCTTGGGATCAGCCAGCCAATACAAAAGAAAATTAATTTCGTATCACCGTTTCCTATCACTTGTCGGTTGTGTATCACGAATTCTGTGAATAACAAATGACATTCAACCGTTCGCCACAATAAGATAAATTCTGTGATGCAACGCCGAAAGTTCAGGTTGCCTGGGAACGTTTTTTGTCTTAATAATTCAGAGAGTAACCCCACAGTCTGAGTTGTTATGCTAGGTTAAAGACCAACACAAAAGGAAATACGCTTCAATTATTTCCTATTAGTCTAGAGAAGTAAATTTTATTGTGGTTTGGAAAATTTGATATCAATTTAGCAGTTTGGAATTACCTAAAAGTCTTTTCAATACTAATCTGAGAAATCGCCGTTATTTTGTGCATTGCTTCCTATTGGTACGAGGGGCATTTTTTAAGTACCGTTTTCTAATGGAATCAAAAAAACTTTATTTATGAAGATACATTGTATCACAAACTGAAATATGAACATTTTTTCGTTTTTCAACATAGTCACTTAAGCATTTAAACGTTTGGTGTTTGGGCCACCAGCTATTAGATTCCGTCATCAAAACACGCTATAGCCTGATTGGTAACTGCGTCTTTCAACATGCCATCGTTTTCCAAGCGTTTCCACCACGAAATTCCTGAAGTTTTGGAAGAAGATGACAGCATGATGATGCTAAGGCATGGGCTGTATGGTGATACAGTAATTCCCAACACAACGTCTCCTTGCTCCAACACGAGGCCGAGTGTTGTCGTGAGGCGTAACGACACTGCTAGGAAGCAGACCCCCACCGACGCCTAAGCGTAGCCTTACCTTCGCAGGAAGGACTTTTTCACATTTAAAAATCGTGTTACTGAGCGACCTTCACAATCGACGCGTTTACTGAGTGACATGTCGACAAACGAAACAGCAAAACCAAGCAACCAACGCCGACAGAGACGTGAAACGAAATGGCGGCACAGTCAAAGGCTGGCCAAGAGTATCTGAGGTTGGACGGACGCCACGTGATGCTGGGACACGGTGCGCAATGATTTCGTACTAAAAATGGTTCTCTCAAATAGTAATAATGAAAAATAGCTCTAGGTATATAATGAATGTGTGAATTCACGCTGATTTTATTTACTGGCAAATACAGTCTTATGTTATAACTGAAACCATTTGTGTTGATTGTATTTATTCATTCCTATATTTTGACGGCTCGAACTTCCATCTTACCTCATAAATTGGAATACTTGAAATCACGTAGCGGCAGTGTCCTTCTCCTAAGCTGTGTTGCAGACATGGAGTCAGCTTTATCTGACAATGTTGTCAGAGGTTGACGAAATGATCAGATATGCTATATTTCAAAGTCTAATCATATGAAAAGTTGTCATATTGGTATATGGTTTATTATGGTATATGTAATAGTGAAAAAAATTATATCCGTGCCTCGCACGTTATATTTTTATTATTATGTTCAGCCAACAACGACATAGTTATCCACCAAGGTATGATATTCCAGCATTTCACGTAATTGTGATCACTAGCTGATTTATGTTTACAAAATCTTGGAACTATAAAGTATTGTGTAGATTAAGTACTTGTATCTTGATCTAGACTAAAGTTGTGTCGCGATTTTTACCATTTTACCTACATA